GCTGTCCTGCGGGCCGCCAGCCCTGCCTATGCTCAAGGCGCCAGGCCAGCGCCTGCGCGGTAGGCAACGCGGGCACACGGCTGTCCTGCGGGCCGTCAGCCCTGCCTATGCTCAAGGCGCCAGGTCAGCGCCTGCGCGGTTGGAAACGCGGACACACGGCTGTCCTGCGGGCCAACGGCACTGCCTCTGCGCTCGGCGCCAGGCCCGACGCCGAGTCACCCGACGTGCCCTCTCGAGAGCCCCGCAGCCCGCAGGCTTAGCGGGAGAGGGGAGCGCGAGGCGCGCGCCGGATAGGAGATAGAAATCGAGTTAGAGGTGGAATAGATAAGGTTTGAGGAGTTCGCTGTCCCATCCAGTAAGTGGTGGATGAGGAATGCCACCAGCCACTTGGCTCCCCCTCTCTCCTGCTCCTCACGATGTCTTATACTACCGCTGTCCCGCTCTCTCTCTGTCTCTCTACCTCACGACATCATATCTCCCTCCCACTTTCTCCCACTCACTCTCTCCCCCCTTTCGCAGCGGCAGGTCTCTCTCAATGAAGAGTACTCGAGTCGGGGAGTGGCCGTGGAAATTGAATCTTGATCCTTGTGTTTGGATAACCCCCTCACCGCCTTACCGCGCCCCTTCCCCCTCCCCGCCTATTTTCCTATGAAGAGCTAGAGAGACAGATAGGTTTGCTCGCTTCCCCATCCTACTCCCCCCCCCATTTCCACTTTCGCACGGGTAATCTCACCGCGAGGCTACGCGTCGCATCTGCCTTTCGCGCTCAATTACATTCCCGGCGGAAACGACAAACGGATCGAGAGCCGCGCTGTTTATTCGCGCAATTTTACGTCTGTTTGCCTCTTTACGGCCACCTTCAACGCGGATTTAAGAGGAAGGAGATTTTTCGACTTGATCTTATTATTTCCGATGTTTCTCTTTGTAACGACGTTTTTTCCTCCCTCTCTTTTTTTACTACTTCTACGTTTCATTTCCTTACTGTTATGCGCTCTTTATCAATCCCAGCGACAGTGTGCTGCAGATAAGCATCGGGCGCGTCGCAGGACGCCCACGGGTTAGGAGGAAGGAGAGGAGGAAAGGGAGGGGGGGGGGGTGTAGGACGTGCGGTGGTCGGCAGGAGGGCAAGGCGTCGGCGGTGCACGCTTTTCTGCGTCGCCTCGCAAGTTTTTCCAGCTTTTAGCCCCCGTTTAACATAAGGCCACTCCCTTCTCCCCCGAACCTCACCTCACCCCCCCTTTCCCTTCAGCCGCACAGGAGGAGAGCGCGAGGAGCAAGGAGAGGACGATGGTCGTACGATTTATCGTGCGTTCTTAAACCACCTGCCGCCGGCTGCCTCCCCTCTCCCCCCGGGCGCGGGCGGCCCGACCAGGCGGTCTCTCTTGTCCTCTGATTTATCTGGCGCAGCTCAGATATGTGTGTTGTGCTTGATTTACTGACTAGCAACTCTCATGCAGTCGTCGCCACCCTTACCCCCCCTCCCCCTTTCTCCCCTTCACCCCCGCGACTCCCGCTCTGTCGCGCCCCCAGGACTTGACCCCAACTGGGGAGGTTCCCTCGGTCACCCGACTTACCTACCTCCACAGAGCTGATCAGCAGTGTCCGGCTACAGCCTCCTCTCCCTGTGAAAAAGAAAACGGGACCAAGTTAAATGAAAAGAAACAGACCAAAAACCCGTAGCGTATAGGGTCGCGGCCACCAAGAGGGGTCAGGACGTTCGCGGCTGCAGCCCCAACAGCGTGACAGACGACCCGACGTTGACACGAGCGAAACAACAACCTAACTGTTGTAGTCATCCAGTGCTAAAACTGCCCCGCCGGCCCGGCCCCGCGCGCTGTAACGAGCGCGGCCCGGCTGACCCGCAGACAGCTGAGCGGAGCTGGAGTTGATCGTGTTTGTCTAATCAGCTATCGGAGCCATCAGCTTTACGATTATCGCTTTATGTTTATGGCCTCGGAATGGCCGCATCAACTTCCACGCCAATAAAATGACCAGAGTGATGGCCGCGCTGGGGCAGCCGCCGCCGCCGGGCCCCGCCAGGCTGACCAACCGGGACGCTCTTCCGCGGCGACGGAGGTCGGGCTCCAAGGGCGCGTCAACGAAGTACTACCAACCGCATCAAGCAAAACGAAAAAAGAAGAAAACCTCCAACATCCGTAGCCGCTTCGGTGCCAAATTTTTGACATTTTAAATTCACTCTCCCACATTTTTGCATTTCATTTTCTCTGACAAATTTTCACATCCTTCGAGACGCTGCCGAGTTTCCGCCTCGTTTTGGCTTCTTCCTAAATTTGTCGTTCAAAGAGGCCACAACCAGACCAAAAGTTTGGAGAATGTTCCAAAATTTGACGGTCAAAAAGGATGCCTAAATTTTGCCAAGAAAAGCAAGAAAACGTTGAGAGTGATGTTAAAGATATTGACGCATATGACTCACCCGGAGAGGCAGTTCTTTAGCGTAAATAAATTTTGTATTTAGCTTAACAAAAATTTCATAGCAGAAATCAAAATAACTCTTTTTCGTGAGGATGACGAAAATTATTTTTCGAATCCAACGAAGTTTTTCGTCAAATTAAAAAAGAGGTTTGTCAAATTACGACTGCCTAAAAATTCTCATAGGTTTCGTCAGCGTCAAAATTTCGTTGTTGGAAAGATATGGTTTTCTGGGTGCAGTCTATAAGAGTCAGACTCAGCTTTGATACCCCTTTGTCGCACAGCAGCGCGCACCACATGCAGCGCGTGCAGCCCGGTGGGCTCGCGGCTCGGGCCCCGCGCACTGCGGCGCGAGAGATACCTCAGCAGCACGTCGAAGGAGATGGATGGCCGGGCGGGGACCGGGGGTAAAGGGAAGGGGGTCCAGGGGAAGACGAGGGGGTCGCACGATGTGCAATTTTTGAGGAGAGAGTTTGTGTGTTTCGACAGGGCCGAAAGGAGGGAAGAGAGGAAAAGGAGAGGGGATTTTCACCATCGCATACTCCGACAGAATGTCGCATCGCTCTACAGTAGACGACACCTCAAATCGAGTAAAGCGATAAGAAAAAGAAGGAGTGTTACAAAAAAGAAAGCGCCAGTTTCGAGGCGAAGTTCCATTTTTTTTTTCGATCCATGCATGTTCCAGGTGTAACTGAATACGCCGCAGTGTTCGGGATTGCATACTAAATATGGCCGCAGGGGCCATGGCCAATTACGGGTATTAAGAGTGGGAAAACCAGCAACACTGCTGCGTATTCACAGTTACACCCGGTTTCATATAACTTATTTTTGGTCAACAACGCTATATCGGTTTGCCAAAAAGACATTTACATATACGCTTTGTGTGGCTTTTTTTTAAACTTGCAGAAAAGATAAACTGGTCGGAAAAAAATTGTTTATATTTTTTCCCAAGTACGTCCAACATTTTCCTCGTTTCGGGTAGGCTGCGGCAGCGGCCCCTGCTGCAGCGCGGGCGCGCCGAGGTGCACTGGCCTCTTGCTTAGCGATCAGAGTCAACAGGGAAGGGTGAAGGGGGAGGGGCCGGCGGGCGGCGGAGCGCAGAGGAGAGCTTCCTTGAGGCTCAGGAGCCTTATAAATCATCGGCCATCACGATAGCGGAAGGGGCACCGCCGCCCCGCCGCGCCAGGCAATGCTTGTACAAATATGGTGCAGTGATGTATGGCCGCTCCGCGCCGCCGGCCCCGCACAAGGACCGCCGCCCCGACAAGCCCGGCCACGCTGAAATCTCAACAGAAGGCGAAACGCGCATAGGCATGGCATTGCTATCCGAAAAAGCCCGAGGGGCGCCGAGCCCGGTCAGCAGTTCCGCAGGCACTCTCAGGAGGAAAGCGAACCTGTCCGTACAGCAGCACATGGCCATGGCCAGGCCGACTTGGACTCCTGACGGCCTGCGATATTGCATCTATACGGATTTGAAAGTTCAAAACTTTTCACATGGGACATTTTCAAGAAAAATATTAAAAAATGAAACTTTAAAGGGAGAAATTCAAAAGATTCAAAACGAAATCTTGAACTATTGTTTTCAAAACCCATTACCGGAAATTGAAAATCCCTAATTGCATCTCCCCTCGCCCTCCCGCACAGAGGTACCGAGTACAGTTTGGCCCCTCAGCTGCTCAAGCTGGCGCCACCCCCGCGCAGTGTATGTAGCGCAGCGCCCCGCATATTTCACGCACCGATGTCTTTAATGGCCTCTCCGCCTTCTTAAATGAATGATAAACCTGCAGCACGTGCAGCGCGGCGCCACGTCGGGGCGGTGCAATTCCTCCTCGCCCCGCCCCACCTTGCCTCACCCCGCCATGCCCGCATTTTACCAGGAATTACAATGTCGGCTGTCGCGCCTTTCCTGTCTAGCGCCCGACCGGGAGCAGCCGCCTCTTGTGTTTTTCAAATCGTGTTGTTCCGGGCGACGGTCTCCGGGCGGGGCGTATCTCGCGGGCGCCGGAGCCGCAGTTGAGAGGGTGTTGCGACCTGATAGGGTTGGTCGTATTGCTCCCCCAAGACAAGCCGAGGGAAAAAGGCTTCCCGAGAAATAAACACGGGAGCGCGCCGGCTAGTGACAGCGCCGCACCGCGGATATCAACGAGAGCAACAGAAACAAAACGAACGGAGTGTGGCAAAAAACAAAGAGAGAAAAAGAGAGATGTGTGAAATCGCGACTTTTTGTTTAAAAATGTGAAACCTTTTGAGAACGGCACGCAGGCACGCTGCGGTCATACTCTCTCTCTCTCTCTCTCTCTCTCTCTCTCTCTCTCTCTCTCTCTCTCTCTCTGCCACGCTGCCGCAAGCCACAACCCCTTCCTTCTCCTCTGCACGGCCCTGGCGACGCTCACCTCATGAAATAAATACGAATTTCTCCTTTCTTTATTGCTGCCCCGCGGCCTTACTCCCCCCCCCCCTCTTCTCTTCGCCCCGTGTTGTAATTCCCCCTTCGTAGATCCCCTTACCTGCCCTGAGTGCCCTAGCGTGTCATCCACCCCCTTGCCCCCCCCCTTTCTCTCCCCTTCTCTCTCTCACTCTCGACCTCACGCCCAACAAACTCTCACCCCCCAACCTTTATCTCTCTCTCTCTCTGTCTCCTCAAATCGTCATTAGCCTTTTTGTCTCCGAGTGTATTTGTGTCCACGCCTTGCGCGGGGTCGCGCCGGGTGGACCAGCGAGGGGAAGGGAGTAGGAGGAGGGGAGGGAGGGGCGTGGGGAGTGGAGGGGAGCGCGCGCGGCTCTGATGTCTCGAGGCTGGCTGGCTGGGCTCACCCACAGCATACTAAATGCCGCGCACAGCCTGATCAGGGTGGGGCGACGCGGGGTCACCTAACCACTACAAACATCTTGGCCGCAACGCCCTTCTCATTCAGCCCGTGTCTTCTCCTCTCTTTCCCTCTCTCCCCCTAACCGCAGGGCCTCCCGCCGCCGCCGCCCCGCCGCGGGCTGCGATTGAATAATTAATTACAACACTTTTTGTTTTTCCTGCGGCAACAAGAAGGCCGCCGCCGCCGTCGTCTGACTGATGGAGAGAGAGTACGGACCCCGGTGGTGGAGCGCGCGCGCCGTCGGGACAGCAGCTGACGGAGTGGAGCCCAACCTATCGGCCTTCACTCACACCCCCCCCCCCCTGTGGCTTGCCTAGCGCCTAGTCAGCCTAGCGCCTAGTCAGCCTAGTCCTCGGCAGCGGCCGCAGCAGCGGCCGCAGTAGCGGCAGCAGCAGCAGCCATGCTTGCAGATGAAAGAAAATCTTAATTAACGAGTCCATTGTTCTGGGGACAAGGAGTGGCGGGGCGTGGGGCCTGGGGCCGGGCCGAGCCGGGGCACGGGCCGGCAGGGTGGAGGAGGGAAGGCAAGGGTGAGATTGGATGGCGTGGCGGAGAGTGGCGGGGCCCGCCGCCTCGCTGCGGCCACGACGCGCGGTTTGAGGGAGAACGAGAGAGAGAGAGAGAGAGAGAGAGAGAGAGAGAGAG